CAATGCCAGATATATATGGCCGAATTTACAGAAGGATGTACACAAATGGGTTAGAGAGTGTTCAGCATGTCAACAATCAAAGATTAATCGTCACACAAATTCACCCATAGGTGTTTTCTCGCAACCAGATGCACGTTTTGCCCATGTGCATATCGACTTGGTAGGTCCTTTACCTCGTTCAAACGGTTTTAATTATCTTTTTACATGCATAGATCGATTTACCAGATTCCCTATAGCCATCCCGATAGCGGACATCACAGCGGAAACAGTAGCCAAAGTTTTCATGCAGAACTGGGTAACCATTTTTGGTACACCCATAACAATAACGACGGATAGAGGAGCGCAATTCGAATCCGAACTATTTAATAACTTGGCTAAACTTCTAGGCTCCAATAGGATACGCTGCACTGCATATCATCCTCAGGCTAATGGGATGGTAGAACGTTTTCACCGTCAGCTAAAAACCGCCCTTATATCTCACTCAAACCCCAATCAGTGGACAGAATTCCTACCATTAGTTATGTTGGGAATACGAACATCTGTCAAAACTGACGCACAGTGTTCAGCTGCGGAACTGGTTTTCGGAACAACTCTGAGACTACCAGGTGAATTTATTAACCCCAATACTAACAGTCAAAAACTTAATTTAGGAAACTACGTAGATCAACTACGGGACCATATGTCCAAACTTAAGCCAATTAATACTCGCGAACAATCGCGTGCCGTATATGTACCTAAAGACCTAAGCAATTGCACGCACGTCTGGATAAGATGTGACAAAATAAAAGCACCACTTAGCCCTCCATTTGAAGGTCCTTTCAAAGTCGTCTCAAGAAAATCTAAATATTTCGTGATAGAAAAACATGGAAACATCGACACAGTAAGTATTGATAGGCTAAAGCCGGCTTATCTAGATCATGAACCACCATACGTGTTGTTAGATCGTTTAACTGACAAATCCATTACGGAATCGAAATGCAAAAACGATAAATCTTTACAAATGACTAAAACGGTTCGCTGGGCACATCCGATTAGCCAATCAAGGATGTTGACAGTTTCAGCTGCAGGATAAAATCTAACCACGTAGCTAATCAGACCCTTCATCTACTTAAAAATAACTTTTCTCCTCATTCCGCCTCACCTACAACTCCCCAGACCTTTTGCCTTTGATATATAAGTGTTATGTTAATTTTTTTTAAATACTGGACACATAAGCTAGGTATTCCGAAACGATGGCTGCGGATTTTAATCAAACTCATACAACTAACACTGGCAAATACAACGAATTCAAAAAGCAACCCAGGCGTTTTTCATACCTTTTCGTACATAAGATGCTACACTATGTCTATTTTCTTCCAGAATACCAATCCTTTCTGGAGGCCAATCACTTACGTGGAACCGAACAATTATAAATTATATTTTTGTATTTCCATTTTGTATCTTATTATTTTTATGCAGGCAGTGGAGCAGTTCTTCAGGTGTGATTGGTTTTCACCATTACCTTTGAAGTAGATTCTTCTTTACTTTTTACTTGAGGGCGACTAAAGAGGCAGGTGAGTAAACACCTGATAGCCGGTCTGAGCATGGAAAAATCGTACCTCACCAACATGGTGTTGGGTAGCCCGCTCGCGGCACTTCCTCAGATATTCTTATTCCACATTCTCACACTTTCTCTTGAAAGCACGCAGTAAACCGTCAGCGATAGTTGTAGAATAGATCACATGCTACAAAATAAGATGACAAGCTAGTAAATGAGGAGACATCCATGGACTATCGTTGACAGCGTTAGTCGTCACTGATTGTAAGTCAAATAGTGAGCGAGTTGATAATTTTCCCTTGGGATGAGAAATAGAACTAAGGTGTTTTCGATAGATAGGTTAATCGAACCGACGTTCCTACGGAAGTCGATTCTAGGGGGAAGCTAATGTAACAGCTCAGGTTGGTTGGTTAAGAGTTGACCCCCAAACAACCAAGCTTATGCCAAAACAGTATTGTTCAAGTATTCATTCACTTCCTTATTTTTCATAAGCGTTATATTCCCTATTATCTTGAATGTTGAGAGCCTTTGTTTGTCTGAACAGATAATCCCACGCTCCACTGCGACTGCGCTAAGATCGAAATAAAGACCTATTCACTACTTCTCTGGTTTCTTCTATCAATAGCACGAGGGTTACCTTAAGGCACGAAAACTTCACATATAATGGTCCTAACATCATTGACGAGATTTTGCAGTGCAAATAAAGAAATAATAAAAATAGTGGGAATCAGTAGGTCGGGAGCCATTTGAGAGAAAAAAATCTGTGTGTAGGCAATTTTTTGGCTGATGACTAAGAAGAGAATGAAGAATAAAGGAAAATGTATTGGCAACACATTAAGTCAAAAAGTGGTTAGTGCTATGTTCTTATACTCGTGTTTATTATTATCTGACAAATACGCCATTTAAAACATCGACATATTTAACCTTGGCGCTGTAGCAAAATAACGATGCGCTAAACAGTACTAGCAGCCCAGAGTCAACTCTGAGTCCTTATTGGTCCTTCTTGCCTAACCCTGCCCGTTTGAATTCAGAAAACAATCTTAGCCTCCATCGTATGAATCATGTATTCCAGATATATTCAGTTTATATACAAGCAAACCAGACCGCACCATATAACAAAACATAAAACAGCAATTATACAGGGTCAAACGAAAAGCGGTTGTGGGTGTGTGAGATTAACTGATAAACTGAGTGTAACTCCAGAATATTAAATCACATAATATTAGTCTATTGGTCAAATGGAAGTTTATAATAAGAGAAAAATAAATATAAGTAATCTAGTTACTTAATGGCTGTACAATATGAATACATGTGCACTAACAGCCTATAAATAGTTTCTAACAATTGCCATTCATCTCTTCTTCGTTCAGATACAACAGATGAAACTACAGAAAGTGGAAGGGTTTGTGTACGAAAACACTGTTGATAATAATTTAGGCATGTCAGTTATCTAGTGCTATCTCCCAACAATTCTTGACAACTGATCTTTCACGATCTTCTCTGCGGCATCCATTTTGAATTCAATTTTCATGAATAAGGACACGTCAACCGGAGGACAACCCATCAATACAAAATTCGATAACAAGTGGATTTAGAAAAAATGAGCTCATATATCTCGCACTCATATTCATCAGTGTATGGATTATACCGTCATGTTGTACAGTAGTTGCACTCTGTATGCTTTGGGGAAATATCACATGTACATCAGAAGAACGTTCTGAATTATGCGTAAACGTGACAAGCACTATTGATAAGATTCCATTCATCATCTAATCTCAGAAGAGCTCGGGCTACAGATCTTAAAATTGCGGTCGCCACATGTCACTTCACTAAACTTCTGCAACATCGCAACATAAGTGTGGACTAATCACCTACTTTGGTCGAAAGCGTGTGCAACTAGACCCGGGGAATGTTATTTTTAAAAAAAGACATTTGCTCCCTAGACAACAAAATCGCCTACCTACGGTAGACTTTAAAAATCTGAGAAGTGAATTATTGAAAAATTCCTTCCAACAGGAACTACTTGATGTGGTTATAACATGTGTTCTAGTGAAACATGTGAACGAAGCAACTAGACACGACTCAGACATGAAATCATCCTTATTAGACTCATATTGACTTGTTATGAGGTTGACATCACGAACCTCTATTATATGCCACCCACAGGTAAAAGTGACCATCCAGTTTTAGTCTTTGATTTTTTCGTACGATTGTTGATAACGATGAATTATCAGCCCAAGCCATATCAAATATCCGGAAAATCATTATACAATATATTATACACACAGCACCCCCAGTAGATTGAACAGTAGAACCACAGTCCTTCATTGAGACGGACATGGTTTTAGAAAAGGCCCCTCATATTTGACAAGTACGCTCTTTGCGAGAAAAGATTGGGCTCCAGCGAACGTAAAGCTTTCGACAAGGTCTCTCACTTGGGTCTTAAACTAAAGCAGGAAGGCTTGGGGATTCGTTACGAGATTACAGGCTGGATAATTGACTTTTACAGTGATGGGAGAAAACTGATTTGGGCAAATGGGTCTCTATCAATGTGGGAATCTGTAATAAGTTGAGTTCTGCGAGGTTTAATCCACGATCCTCACCTTTCTTACTTTATGTAAGTGACTTAGCAACTGTGGCAAAGTCATCTGTTCTACTCTTTCCACATGACATAATGACTTAAGGACTCACGTGCGGCATGTCAGATGATAAAATATTACGGCGCGATCTAAACCCATTGGTCGAATAAATGTGTAGGTGGTCAGTGGAAGTTAATTCTAGCAAGATTGTGACGATGAAAATAAATAACTGCGATGATTCGCATCACCACACAATAGTTGGAGTCTTATTACATAGGGTGGTGAACTTTAAGGATCTAGAAGTCGTAATAAGCAACGACACCAAATGTACGAGTACCTGCAAGGCTTCCGCTTCCAAACGCTTCAAGGTTGTATGTGTTATTCGTAAGCCATATCATTACATGGACGTAGCAATGTTTAGTGTATTATATCCACGATTTTAAGGTCGCACTTGAAATATTGTGTTCAAGCAAATAGTCCTCGTTCGAGTTCAACTACGGTGAACTGAAATTGCGAAAAGTCTCTCTGGTTTACCTTATGAAAAAAGATAGACATTACCACAGGTAACGGGCTGGATTAACATTGGATAACGTATATACGGTAATATATATTGAACGATGATTTCGGTATTAATATATCCCAGCTTTTTTCCATTTCAGGCTGTTCGTCTGAGAGAACATTCCGAGAGAGTTCAGAAACTCGGACCAAGTCGTTTACTTCTGGAGTTTCTTTGCCTCCACCTAGTACTAAACTTCTAGAACTCCTTCCCAGGACACGTAGTGACAGTACCTTCTTTTGACGCATTCAAAGCGATACTGAATATTCCCGGTACCACAAATTGCAAGGATTTATATAGGTCGGTAGACATTCTAGATTTACCACCGACTGAAGACTGAAGAAGAATGAGGTCGGTTCAAATCGTGACCTTGATGAACGCGTACGTTAATTATATTGTACGCACTTAAATCGAAGCTGCGGGTCAATGATGTAATGCAGCGAGAAGTCAAAGATGTTTGCAAGGCTATAATTCGTGGAGGAGTGAATAAGATAAAAAATTGGACTTACGGACTTTGTCGCAAAGTTCATTTTCAAAATCGACAGATTATAGTTGAGGATTTTAGTTGGTCATTTCGTAATGAAAACCCTAACAATTATTCCAAACGCAAACTTCCAAATCTTGGTTTTGATCACAACTATTCATTATAACTTATAACCCTCTTTTGACTAGTAGGCCGGGGTACTTTTTCACTTCAGCATATCTCATTACTCGTTCATAAATTATAGTCTTACTTAATGTGTTAATGTATATAATTTGCATAGCTGTCTTCGAACGATTTACCCATACAACTCTGCGGAACTCGTTTTCCCTTAAGGTCTTTAGTGTAGAATATGTAATTTACCTACGGGATCAGTTGTCCTACTCAGGCAGATTTCAAAACCGTTAGCTTCCAGGATTACCAACATTTTCAATTTTTACACGGTAACTGAAAATTGGTCATCCGGTAACACCCTTTAGAAAAAACCTTTTTTCAAAATGTCTTGATAGGATCTTAAAAATAAGTGTCACTGAATGGCTTAAACGTGACCGAAAATACCCATTTCAAAACAAATAGTATAGCTGTTTATGATCAGTCCAGACGTTCATTGGTTCAAATCACACAATTTTCATCTGGTCAACTAAAAAGTACTATAAGGCTTTACACGAAGTGTTGCTCAAAGCCGAGTACATAAACCTGTACTCGGCAAAGGCGCTACAGTACTTAAGTTTGAATCTTATATTTACGAATCAAAATTTATGTGCTGTAAGTCTCACGACTTAAGATTTTAATGTCCAAGCCTTAGATATATCAAAGTGTTAATGGTTACCTAATGGTCTCAGTTTGTGCGAACAACTCTTCGATTGCACTCATGTTTATTGCGTGCGACTTATGAATGTTTTCTATCTTTCAGAAGAGCAATTTTAGTGAAGAAATAATTGCATTAGCTTCACTGGTACTTTCGAATTTGGGACTTGACCACATAACGATCTCTTAAAAGCGGTAAGAACCGTTTTGGAAATATTCTTCATTTCTATGCTTTTTAAATCGTAATGCTGCCGCCTGAAATCCTTGACTAGAATGTAATGCCCTGTATTTAAAGCCAATTTTTCATGGTTTGCGTCTGTCAGAAAGAAACTACACTAGCGACGTTAGTATCCCAAGAGTTTTATTTATTTATCTAAACACAAAGATTGGTAAAAAGAAGCACCAAATATATATACGCCACACTTCGTTGTTCGATTTGTGTGAGGTATGGAATACTGCACGAGCGCCCAAACCGAAGCAGGTGATTTCCTTAGGGGGCCACTCCTCGAGCCTTTGACATCGAAGTCTAATCCACAAGGTAGTGGATCAACATTAAGAGATGCAGTCTCATGGTAGCCCGTGACTAACAGTAAGTTTATAGGCCTTTCGTTTCCTCATGATTTTGGGAGCTCATGTGCACCATTGGTTTTGAATAAGGTTTTCCAGCTCCCTTGATGAACCCTTCGTGTCCATCAACTCGGTTAATGAGCCAGACATTCGCTTTTCGTCTTCTGAATCCCATAAACAACATTCCCGCGGCAAGAAGGCAACGAGTAGGACTTCATTGGTAATAATTGTATACGCTAGGCCAGGTGAGAATATTTGGAGAGGGAGAACTGACTCTCCCTACCATCGACAGTATCAGGGTATTTCCGGGGCTCATCCCAACTAATAGTTGTTTGGGACGTAGGAGTTGTCACCCCCCATCTGACCTTGGTAGTACAATAAGGTTTTGGGGAAAAAGTATTCCAATTCAGATAAATTGATAAAGCTATTGTAATAGAGCGGCTCAATCATCGTAACCGGACTTAAGTAACAGGGCAATTTAAGCATTTTACCATTCTCCAAATAGCGAAGCCTTACATAGTCGTAAGAGTTAATATATGATTTTAAAAATAGAACTCTTTTGGCTAGATTGTTTTTCATAATTTCATAATCCTAAGTGCTCTGTGTAAAAGAGGATATACCGGGTAAACATCTAGTAGGAAGTAATGTTAGATTGTTACTCTAGCTTCTGGGCTCCGGAGAAGAATATCGATATTTAGTTGTTGCTGATAAGTTTTCTGAGACGAAGATTTCATATTACTCATGATTCTCCTCCTCAATGTTGCTGGGTCTCTGCAGTTGTGTTATTCGCGCGTCCCATACTGAGCAACTTGACCGTCTATTGAGTATTTCGAACGAATTGTTAAGATGAATGAAGTGATAAAAATGCAGAGCATGGTTCATAATAAGATCGGTAATAGACTTTATTTACCTCCTAGTTACCACCGGTTATACAGTGGTTATAAGTCATCTACCGTCTTAATGGATGATTGAAAACTTCGATCCATTGGTGAACACACTATCTATATATTGCTTGTAAATATTAGAAATGATTGGTTATTCAAAGAACATATCGCAGGTTATTTTTATGTATAGAAATATAATTGTGTAGTTAATAACTTTGTATTTAGTGGGATGTTACACATAATTCATCATCCTAAATAATTTGTAAATTTTAGTTTCTCGAAAGATGAGCTCCGAAGCACGTAACTCAAAAGTGGCTCCGAAGAAGTTCGATTTTATGGATATTTTTTCGGAATCTTATTCATTAGCACAAAAGCGCAATCAGGTGACCAATGCAAGGGTAGAAAAATACGATTGATTTACAATTTTTCCGATAGATTTTAGCTTTACTTCCGGAAAATGATTCTCAAACCACTGAAATGGATCCTCTTGAGGAGTCTAATTTAGACACCGAATCTGACTACATTGGTCCCTCGCCAGAAGATATGGCTGTCGAAAACCCATATTATTTACCTATTACTCAAAATCTAACTCTCTCTCATGGTTGTAAACCTCTCACCGCAATAGGTGTTGATCCAGCAGGTGCTCGCGTTGCTACAGGTGGTTTCGACTTTGATGTAAAACTTTGGGATTTTGGTGGGATGGATAACGCATGTCGTCCATTCAAGGCTTTTCGTCCTTGTGAAGAACATCAAATCAAGCACTTGGATTTCAGTCCTTCCGGTTGGTTTTATTTTCTTAACCTTCTGTATGCATTTTTTCTGATAAATTTATTTTGTGGTTAATTCTTTAGAGGTATTATCAGTGCGTCGGCATGTATATTATCGCATCGCTTATTTAAGAAGTTATCAAGTGCTCAAGTTGACGGTTTGTCATGTCTCCCACTCGTAATAACGGAGTACAAGATTCAACTTCTAAACAAGTGCTAATCTCGTTTTAACTACTGAGTGTTGTGTTTAACTGTTATTTTAATGAAAGTAATGCAACGATCCATTCTATTCGCTCAACCCTCAACTGGGTTCTCTCGTTTCTGTTCAAGTTACAACAGATTGTGTCCAATTGATTGGCTATAAGGTTAGAGAAAAATGGATCAAAACTAAGTGATTGACGTCAAATTGAAACCTGGTTTACAATTTATTTTTATTTATTTGAACACAAACATTGGTACAAAGGGGAACCAAATACATATACGCCACACAATAACAGTGAGGTTGTGAAGCGATAGAGAATGTAAAATGCGTATAATAAAAAAGAACAACAAAAAAGTTAAGATATTAGAGTGAGATAATAATAATAGTAATGGGATAATCAGTTCAGTTAGGAAAAATACAATCAGAAAGAACTTCAGTTAAAAAAGTTACGTTCACCTTTATGATTAAAGTAAAAGAAAGTTACAGTAGGATCATCATTGGCTTCTATTCTGAGCCATGTCTGATAATATTTCAAGCCACTATGTTGTACCATCTCTAGGACCCCAACCAGGGAGTTATGAAGGACCAACAGAAAGCAGTCCTGTACAACTTTCCTACCACAACACTATATCATCATACACTGACCACCTACCCGCTTTTACCAACCGGTCCCAGCTTCGGCAAATAATGTCTGACGTGGAATTCTCTGGAACGGCATTTGTAGTACATGTTCAATCTACCGAAGTCGATGTTTGAAAATAGTGCACCAATCGAATTATCGTCGCTGTACCCAAACACACGATGCCGAATCTATGCATTGCCAACATGATATTGTCAGCAATCCTTCGGAGACAACTATGATCAAACACAGAGTCATCTAACATCCTCAACTTGGAGAGACCAGGTCTCACAAGCATAGAGCAAAATTGCTCTCAGCGACGTGTTGTAGATCTGAACTTCTATAGCCAGACTAACAGCAGGAAGGTACCAGAGATAGCCCGGATCGACATGAGCCGCTCTTGCATGTGTAGTGTACAGCATTAGTATCATCTTGCTCTTTACGACTTTGGTAGGTTTGTAAAGATTGTGGTGTTCTGTGGGTTGAGGTTATTGTACATTGCCCATTTTTTTCTTGTATCATCCATATAGTTCGAGTTGGCTCATGTATTGGTGCCCTATCATATCAAACATTTTTAAGACTGCTTTGCGTGAATGATCCCTGTTTTAGTTCTATTCGTAAGTATTTAACTGACATTTTTATGTACACATTAGATAATAGGCGGGTTTGCAAATAGTAGCCTATGGAACGTTTCGAAGCAGTTCAGCTAATATACTTCATATATCATCTGATCTCCGTTGGGTTGCAGTGTTATCTCAAATATGTTTTATCAAAAGCATTTGTTGCAAACTTCGTCTTAGAATATAAAAGGTCTTACTACCTTTGTAGACTTTCCTGTGTTAACACAACTCCATAAAGTTACCTGTTTGTACTAATTACCTTGGATGCATAGCTAGTCCTATTGGTAGCTGATTTCAGCTTTTATTTCTATATTAAATTATTTGACTCACCTTTGAATGGTAGGGTTATGAAGACACATTTCAGATTATAAGATTGTCATTTTTCAAATGCAATATTTGACTGTCACTAATGATTCTTATCTTCTGTGAGGTTTCTGAATTTCAAGGGCTTTAGTAGGAACGTACTAGAATCATTCACAATCGATTCAAAGTGTGATGATCCACCAGACTTAATTATGATTGCCATCATTGTTTAATAATAATGATTCAATAATTTATTATGGAGTCTTGTTAATACTTAAAAATGGAGACAGCACCAAGTAATACTAGTTTTATAACTCATCTATATAGGAGAACATCTTTTGGTCATATCTGGTTCGGCCCAAGCTTTTATTGTTGATCGAGACGGAGAGGCTGTATGTTATACAAACAAAGGTTATCAGTATATTACTGACCCGGCTAGTGCTAAAGGTCATACTCATGCATTGCATTGGGGTATGTGGCACCCTCTGGATTCAAACAAACTACTCACATGTTCTCAAGATTCAACCCTGCGTGTATGGGATATAAATGATGCAGAGGCAGTCATGAATGAAACACGTATACCTACGCATAAAATTGTGATTAAGACACGTAATGCTCAAGGACGAAAAACTAGTCCAACATCATGTGCTTATTCAAAGTAAGTTGAAAGATTGCATTCTCTCTTTTATGCTGTTGAAGCTTTATCGTTTTGTGTAGGTTACAACTGTTCCGTAATTAGAAATTATCAATCATCTTCATTCAATGTATACTTTATGATTGTAGGTCGTCGTTATATCATGGTCGTACTATTACGTACTCAACTTGGGACTGAATCGATTAATCATTCATCACTTCAATAAATGTAAACCGAGGCACATAAACATATACAGCTTGGCTAATTGCAGTGAAACCTTGACATACTTCTATCTGTTATATTTCTCTCAACGGCAAAATGTTACCATAAACAAAAACCTCTATTTGGAATCAATTCTCATAGTGTAGTATAGATTCTACTAAAAGACTGACCTTTCAACTTAAAATACATAAATAATCATGTATAAGATGTGTTTCTCTGTCTTTAAGTGCATTGTTACTTCAGGACTGGTTCGGACCAACACCTGAATTATTGATAGGAGATAAGTTAGCCGAGTGAAAATTAGTTTCAGTCATGTTAATAGGTGTAAACTACCTGGTTGGGTTTCGCGCGATCATGATAACCAATTATTAGAGACTTCTTTTTGATGGCATTTTGTTCTCTGAGCTGGATGGTTTGGTCGTAGAGCTTTCATCGTTCTTCTGAACGACATCATCAGCGCAAACTTCGGATAGAAGTGAAGCGTTCGAATTTCTCCACATGTGGTTCACAGTTTGTCCTGTAGACCTCGATGCTGATTGGTTCTTGTTGACATTAAACATATCATTGTTTACTTTTTGTTAGAAACTTCGGATGATATGGTTCAGAATTAATCACAATCGCCTAGATGCTTTATTTTGGTTCTTATCCTACTAATTGTTGTCGATTTCCATCATTACCATCCATCATACTCAACGTAGAATCTGATATAATTATTTGCCCAAATATCCTTTGCTTTTATACATCCTCTACTGTATTCATTATTGATAGTAATAGCTTTCAATCAATATGTCTAATATCTAGTTATTTTCCAAACTTATTGGTTTCTGTAATTTCTCTTATTACGACTCAGTTACTCCTATTACTTAGTATTCTTGGACATTACTTCACTCGATAAGTCCCCAAATCAGAACACTGTTAAACAGAGACGTGATTATATTCTAAACAAAAAGGTTGGATAGAAGTAAGAATGACGATAAGAGAAACGTTCGTATATTTATGATTTTTACATGAGGTTTTAGAATGCTGTCTGAGTGTCCACTAGCGCTGATCGGATAATAAATAACCAATCAGTGTGCCCCACCATAATCCTATACGGAATGTGCTCTAATCCATTTTATATCCCGCTAACACAGAGTCATTTGAATTATTGAAAATCTTGTTAGTAACTTGTGTCTGTTAATTTGTTCAGTTGTATTGTTCTTTAGCAGTTATCTTTCATTGTTCTCATCTTTATTTTTCAAGAGATGGTCAATTAATTGCTGCAGGTTGTCAAGATGGTTCTATTCAAATATGGGATACACGTAAACCTCTAGTGAATACAACACAAATATGTCGTACAGCTCATCCAATCAATACTGATATTACATGTATTAATTGGTCATGGGATAGTAAACAATTATTAAGTCGTGGTATGAATGATGATACAATGAAATTATGGGATACACGTGAATTATCTAAAGGAGCTATTCATGTATTTAAAGATTTACCTGTATTGTTTAATCAAAGTGAAGTAACATTTAGTCCAAATGATCAAGTATTAGCTGTTGCTGTTAGTGTACCACGTAATGATCCTAAAAGAGGTCAAATCAACTTTTATAGAAGAGATAATTTTCAGGTTAGTTATCTGTTGTAGATTTCTATTGTAAAAACTTTTAATCTTTAAACATTCAATTGTTTCGTTTTAAAGAGAAGTTGATAATAGACCTTTAACAAAATGTTAATCTTATTACGACTAATAAATACAAAAGAAAAGTTAAATAACCTGTAAGTATTATGTAGCTTTTGAGTATTCCAAAGTAAAGACTTGGTAATATCATTCACTTGAGTTGTATTATTTATTTAAACACATAAGGATTAGTACAAGGAGGCACCAAATATATATACGCCACACTTCGTTGTTCGATTTATGTGAAGTTTGGAATACTGACCGAGCGCCCAAACCGAAGCAGGTGGTTTCCTTAGAGGGTCACTCCTCGAGCCTTTGACATCGAAGTCTAATCCATAACATTAAGAGATGCAGTCTCATGGTAGCCCGTGACTAACAGTAAGTTCATAGGCCTTTCGTTTCCTCAGGATTTTGGAGCTCATGTGCACCATTGGTTATGAATAAGGTTTTCCAGCTCCCTTGATGAACCCTTCGTGTCTACCAACTCGGTTAATGAGCCAGACATTCGCTTTTCGTGATAATAACGAATAATTGAAATTAAGAAGATTGGAAGGATGTAAAAAAGTCAAATTAGCGTTCATGAAGATTGTCTTAGGGTCATAGAAGAATGATTGCTTGCACGTGTCTCTTTTGCACACAGAATTCATGTTTAAAAAGATAGTTTGGTAGCGCCTCTGTAGTGCATAAATTATTAATTTGCAATCCTCGTGAACCAAATCGTTTTATTGTACTGATAATTTTAAAAGAATTGTCTGATGGGACGATATGACCAAAGTTCACAAGATGTTTTAACATTGAACTGTTGATTTACTTACAGTTACCTTTCGAAAGCCACTCAAGATAGTGTTCAGGGATGCGTTTATAAGGCGTTCGGTTTGTGCGGCCTATATAATCTACTCTACAAGAGCAAATAAACCTATAGATACACATAAATGTTGTCCGATGTGAGAGTTTACTTTTCAGCCACCGAGTCCCAGATTCAAACCCCTTCTCACCTACTTCAGTCTGGATAACCAGATAATATAATTAGCCTTCGTACTTACATTATAGTTCATTCACAAATGTCTGGTGAATAAGTTAATTAGTGTATATTTCACTATAATCTAATATATATTCTCTTTTAGCTGATCAATCAGTTCAGTCCATGTCATGGTAGTGTGATTGGATTAACATGGCATCATAGATTAAATCAAGTATTCTGTAGTTCTTCTGATGGTGTAGCTAATGTATATTATGATTCAAAAGTTAGTCATAATGGTGCTTTAATGTGCGCTAATAGACAAGCAACTACATCAAGTCGTCGACGTCATACTGGTACTGGTGAAGCTTATATGAAACCAATTATATTAACTTATGATGAAGAAGCAGTTCGTATTGCACGTAAAAATAAAAAATATCTTAATCAAACTGAAATTGATTCAGAAGTTGCAATGGCTGCAGTTAATGCAATTTTACAAAAAGATCATCAAACTATACAAGCTGCTAAAGAAGATGAAGCAAAACAACGTGTTCCAAATAGAGAAGAATCTGTTGGTAATCGTGTTGGAAGTCTACATCAATTTATGGTTCAACAAATTGTATTAAAGAAAAATGAAGCTGATGAACGAGCTGAAAAAGATATACGTGGAGCTATTCTTCGTCATGCTGATGAAGCGAAAAAGCAACCCTTCTGGACTAGAGCTTATCTAAAGTAATATATATATATATATGTTTAGGTGTTTAAGTGCATGACTTTGATTCTATTTCAATACTCAGTTAAGATATTCCATGAGAATTTTCTACAGGTCACTTGTCTTATTATCAAATCATGATTCATGATTGTCATATATCATCTATCCATTCACCGGTTGATATATTCTGTATACCTTATAAAGCCATAATAGTCCTTGAGTTTCTTTTTGTTGTTGTTGGTCAAACAATTAGGGGGGAACCTTTTGTAGGTGCCGCCCGGTTTTGAAAATTGTTGACGCGACCTGGGCTTTGGTTGTCTTCGCCGGGGGGGTGTTTGTTTCCCCCCCCTTTGGAGGCAGCATCGCTGTCATGCTGGTTGTCCGAGGGAAACACCTTACTGCTGTCACACCTCTCTACAGTCAGCAGTACGACTTCGCCCTCAGACCTTGAGTTGCTGCTTTTAGTCTTACCGTTCGCCAATCGACCTGCCTGGCATGGTAGAACCTGCAGGAACATATGTTCCAGCCAATATAGCTCGGTTGGGTTATCACGATAGGCAAGCCCGACCACCGCGTCAAGGTAGCAATATACTTGATTGAATAGTACTCTGTTAGGTGAACTGTTATTATAAGATCATTCAGTTTTATTACATAAAATCTAATTTTTGTATATCACAATCAAACTAAGAATGTGATATCAGTCAGAGATATAGTGAGATTAAACCTTTACGAAAAACTATAAACTATATACATAATTTCTCTAATCAATAATCATTTTACACTACGGTAAAACATCGATGCATATATGTGCCTGGTGTTCCTACGTTGCAGCTGACTGACTGACTGACTGAAAACACCGCTTCATTATTGTGTGAAACATCACTTATGGATTTAACTAAGTCTTATTCATATGTTAAACCAGTAGAATAACAAATGATTTCATAGATTCTTGCAGATTTCTATTATGTAATTCAGTTACAGCTGCTTAGCCAGAAGTAAATTGGAAGAAGGCTATGCGTAACCAAACTAGGGAATGATACTAGTATTGTAGAACGATAACTAAATTATTGAAGCACTCGGCTATCAATCAGTAAGTTTGTAGATGTCAAGTTAGTTTCACGTATATCGGTTTGGACGTCCAAGGAGTAGCATTAACCCTTACACAACTAGTGTGGCTCAGAACTGAGTGCAAAAGTCTATACTTAGTGAGTTACATAGTATCAGGCTATAAAGTAAATTATCGGTTGAATTGGGTTGTGTATATAGATAGATGTGATAATCCTAATCTGCAACCACAAGTTCGAGACCCTAATTGCATGTGGATTCAATTAGTCACACTACATCAATAAAGGAAAATAAAATTACAAGATATCGTCCAAGTATGGGACTCCTTAGCAGTGTACATTCAGGATGCCGCAATTTGCAATATAACCCAGGCTTTTTGGTTTTGCACACGAACTCCCAACCTATAGACCACTTATCCGACATGCAACGGTTTTAATGTTCAATATCAGTCAATCCATGATTCTACTAAGAAGTCCCGCTTTAGGCTGAAGCGCCCACTCAGTGCTTCCAGGTTTTCGTTGATTGTCTAACCAAGATCAGTTCGCGATTTCATTTGTGAAAATACTACAGTCTCCACAAATCGCTCATCTTTTTATTTATTATTTTCATTCCAAGTTGACTATCTTTTCCCCACAATATTATTCATACTTTTTGTGGCACATTCTACGTTTTTCTGCTTTGTTATACCAAATTTTATATACTTAAATAAATATGTAACACATGTCCCGAGTATCTTTGTGAATAGTCGTTCATAATCTCATCACCATATTGCATTCATTACGTAGTTACCGTACGTATAGCCCGCAAATGCCGTGGTACGGCAGAGAGTGGGGAGAGTTCTCTTTGCCTCTCGAAATGCTCTCATATGGCCACGCTTATACAACCACTGCCACGGAAGTCCTACTCACTGCCTTATCGTGGCGGGGGTGTTGTTTTCGAAACCCAACCGGATTGGTGGACACGCAGAGTCCACCTAGGGAAGTTGGGAAACCCTAATTCCAAACTAATGGTGCACATGGACTCCAGTATCCTAAACGAACAAATGGCATATGAACCAATCGTTGGTCAACGGCTACCATGAGACTGCATCTCCTTACGATGCTCTACTGCCTTGTGGATCAGACCTTCATGTTGAAGGCTCTGGGTGTGACCCCATAAGTAAACCACTTGCTTCGGTTTGGGCACCCGGGCAGTATCACAGCCCTCGCATATGTATCTGGCGCCCCATTGTACCAATATATATGTGTTCAAATAAATAAATAAAACGTATATGATATTATTGTTATTATTCGGTTAGTTGTCCCACAATATGTAAGTAATGGATCAAAATCAACTTGTTATTAAACTATTTACAACTTATGCATGTATTCTACCTTCAAATGTAACATTTCATAGTTATTTGTTCATTTTGACATGTATGTTTAATCTATGTCCATTTAAATGGTTATAATTTTCTTGTTTTTCTGGTTAGCGTTTTTTAGCGAGTTAGTTTTCTACGGGATGGGGTCGCTAACCCCATGCTCAACTCTCTTACTTTATCCGAGCTTAGGACTGGCAGTAGCCTCAGAGGTGCTCCAGGTGGAGCTGCATGTTTATCCTCAGCTTTACATTATATCATAGTCGACTAAATGAAACAGTGCATTTATACTTGGTAATAGTTATATTAAGTATGAATATGTTTGTATTATGTAACTTTGATATCATCACTTTCATATCCACTATTATTATTATTATCACTATTACTATTACCATTACCACCATTATTATTATCATTTACTTTTAGAACACAACCGAATCCGATTTTTCATAATCCAGATGAAGAAGTTAAAAAAGACGATACACCTATTTGGAAAAAACAAAAATTAGCTTGAATATAATGTAAAATACAAAAAAAGAACTTATGCGAATACTTGTGTGTGTGTGTGTGTAGGGGGGAGGTACTTTTTTCTCTTTTTCTTTTGTCCAACATTATATATTGTATTGTATTACATTCACGATTGATTGTACATAAATGAAATAACATTACTGTTTTATATTGTTATTTAATTATTTCTATGTTATATACTGAATAATAATAAAATCTTGTAAATAGTTGATATACAAGTTTGTTTTGTTGCTTGTTAAATTTCTTTATTATGATAAAAGGGATAAGCACATGTTACACTTATTTTTTCTATAGTTGATATCATGAGTCAATTGAAGCTAGATCACCATGGAGAACTTGGAAGCATTGGACAGCTGTTTCGTTCTAGTATGGGACTCCTCAGCAATGCGCATCCAAGATCCCTTCTCGCGCCCGAACGCTGAATTGGCCGGCATCCAATGGTGTTAATGTCTTACTTCAAATAATCCACAAAATTGAACGACATGTCCACCATTTTCTTCAGTGAGTTACTATCTCACAAAAAAACCGGTCGAATTCCACTGATCACTACTTCTCATTAGAATTCTGGGAAATACCTTTTAGGGACCGTCACTAGTAAGCATATAGTGATTATAATCAGAGAGGGGTTTTGTGGATATATTATAGTAATTTCAGTAGCTGAGATCATGAGCCGATTGAAGCTAGACAACGATCGAAAACCTGGAAACACTGGATGGCTGTTTCGTCCCATTGTGGGACTCCTCAGCAGTGCTCATCCACGATACCGCCTCATAAGATTCGAACCCAGGGCCTATCAGTTTCTCGCGCGAGCGCTCAACCACTAGACAACTGAGCTGGCTCACATCCAACGGTGTTAATGTCTAACTCCAACTAATCCACGAAATTGAACGACACATTTATCATTGTCATCAGTGAGTTACTATCTCACAACTGACCCGGTTGAACTCTACTAGTCACTGCTTCTCACTAGAACTCCAGGAAATACCTCTCAACCATTGAAACTACTATTTTAGTGAACAAGAACACCAGTGAGGACAATCTAATGTATTTGACTCAAAATTACAGAACTTGTTTATAAAATCTAACAATCAAATAGTAAATACGTAATTTGCAGAATGTCCATCAATTGTCTTATAACGACTCAGACTTCATTGTTCTTGCATTTTCATAGAAATTGCATTCTGTTTCCATTCTTTACTGTTCGATCCTCTTGGCTCTCTGCTGCCAGACTTTCTGTTCACGAGTAACGTCATATACTACTTATGTCAGTATAAGTAGCACACACCACAACTATAATATCCACAAAAACCCCTTCTGATACTTATTTTTCTCTAATTTAAAGAATCTTTAATGTAAAGTATGTTTTCTCGTCATTATTTTTTACGTGTTGTATTTGAATGGGTAGTAGTCGTAAAATATTTTATAATAAAATTAAAAGTTATGGTACATGTCAGTATCCTCTTACTGTTTGTCTTGGGTTGCTTATGTCTTTGTGAATAATGATTAGACCATTTTGTACAGTGAATGTTTGTAAACATTATAGTAATCTGGTTGTTTCCAGTTAACGATTTCAATAGTGAGAATACTACTGATAATAGTCATGGGTTCACAAATGAATAGCTTTGATAGGTTTCTGAAGTTCTAGTGAGAAGCTGTGGATATTGGAGTTCAACCTTGTCGGATGTGAGGCAATTACCTACCGAAGATCATGGAAGATCGTCGCGCAATATCGCCGATTGATTGAAGTTATACACTAACACTTGAATTATTACTCAGTGGTTTACAGGTTAAGTGTTCAATTCCCAATTGGGAGTTCGTTTATGCAGATTACTGAGAAGTACCATATTGGGGCGGAACAGCTAGCTAGTGCTTTCGGGTATTCAACAGTGGTGTAACATTGATCGGTTCATGCTCTTAATGAATCTCCACAATCTCCGCAACCATATACTTACAATCGAATATTATTTAGTCAACTGAGTTGTTTTGCCAGTTTCCAACTAATGATTAACAAAATCATGAGATACATCAATATATTTAAAACATGTAACATCGTAATAAGCAGTTCTTACTGATGAGGAACTATTTATTTATTTTAACACATAGGTATTGGTACAAGGAGGCACCAAATACATATGCGCCATACATATCTCATTTGATATGTGTGAGGACTGTGATACTGCCCGGGTGCCCAAACCGAAGCAGGTGGTTTTCTTAGGGGGTCACATCCAGAGCCTTCAACATGAAGGTCTGATCCACAAGGCAGTGGAGCGACGTAAGGAGATGCAGTCTCATGGTAGCCGGTGACCAATAATTGGCTCATACGCCATTTGTTCCCTCAGGATACTGGAGTCCATGTGCACCATTGATTTGGAATGAGGGTTTTCCAACTCCCCTAGATTGATCCTCCGTGTCCACCAACCCGGTTAAATTGTCGATCATTAGCTTTCGGTCCTCTCGATTGCGTAGACAACACCCCCATTACGAGAAGGCAGTGAGTAGGACATCCGTGGCAGTGGTTGTATACGCGTGGCCATGTGAGAGTATTTGAAGGAGAGCGAACTCTCCCCACTCTCGGCCGTACCAGGTCATTTGGGGGCAATGAGGAACTATGTAGAAGAAAGAAAATGAATAGGATAAAAATCAAACTAAATATTGCAAATCACTTCTTAAACTGGATTTACAAGAGTTTGTACGTAAACAGTAGAATCATATTGACATTATAAATAATATACTGCGGACAAAATATGTTTCACTTCATTTTAATAGCTTTTCATTGACTGTTCTTGTCACTGAATTGGTTCTGTGTCGTCTAGATTTGTGGTATTAAGAGAAGCTAATTTGAACTCTCTTACTGATATTAAAATTCTTTTAAAGAGGGTTGGTAACAATCATGAAATACAGATATATGGATGAAAGATATTCTTTTCAATAAATTCCCATCAGATTCTTCAGTTATACATCCAAGTCGTTAACAATCCAGATAAATGAGTAGTATAGAGTAAAAAAATTGTAATTATAAATAATATCAAGTATTTAGTGGAATACCATGTGCTGTTAGATGGTGGTTGGAGGTAGTCAACAGGAAAACCTGGACCTCGGTTTTGTGCTACTTGGCACACGTCAGCAAGGTGTACCACCCAGTGATCAATCAATTGTGAGGACGTGCTGTATAAAGTGATGTAAATCTCGCAACTTCATGTAGCATATTTACCTTAAGCATGGCCACTTTTTAAATTAATATCACAATTTCATTTGACTGATAAACTATTCAAGTTATTCAAAGATAGGTGGTGACGGGCAGTGAAATCCAGGACGCACGTTTCATCGTATTTAGGATTCGTCGGTTAGATGTACATGTATCCCAAAGTTGATATTCACTCTAGGACTCGAACCCAGTACAGTTCACTTCAAATGCCATCACGTTGTCCTGGATTCCATTACTAGCCACCATCAATCTTTACTTATAATACTTGTGACTTAAGATAATCCGTACAGGATTCACATATACCAATAAGAGAGACTGATCAACTGTAATTCTAAACATCAAAATAGGAAGATTCAAATAAATAATACAAATAATGAATTATTCAAACTAATAGTTTCAACATTGATAATTTAACATGGATTGGATTGGATTTTACAAATAATCCTAAACTCATATGTTACAACGATGTGAACAAGATGTATTTGCCTTATACTTGATCATTCTTTTGAATCATTAATGTGGATGTATAACTATAGAAACTAATGGGAATATTTAAATAGTTAAATTGTGAACTAATAAAATCTGTTGCATAAATTTAACAAATTAATTTATTATCAGTATGGAGATTTGTGAAGATTGTAGTAGTTTCACATTTGAATTCACGAGTAGAACTAGTCTAGTTCACCGTTGAAAACATGGAGGCATTGAATGACTGTTTCGTTCTACTATAGGACTCCTCAGCAGTGCAAATCCATGACTTAGTACGCGGGACTCAAGCCCAGGACATTTGGTTCAGGTTTTCAATAGTGGTCTAGATGAGATCAACTCGTGAATTCAACTTTGAGAATTAGTTTATGGTAGTAGGGATAAATAGTCCGTATTAAATCACACTTAATAACTTACCTTAAGTAACTCGGACTAGAACGCTGAACAAAACATTTGGTACTACTTACATTTCAATCACTGAAATAATAATCCAAGTCAATAACTTAGTTCTATGCTTATGTTAGAAAGATATCACATTATTTCTGTTGAATCAACTGTCATCGTATTGCCATAATTTCAGTGGTTTATACCTTAGTGATTAAAACTATAAGCCTCTACTAATTGCTTTATTGACTCTACAGATGAATTATTATTTCGTGTAATCGTTCTTCAGAATAGTGGTTAAAACTTTCAATTTTGGAATTAATAATCTATAGGATTAAAACAAGCCCTGCCTACTTCTATCCGGACGTTTGAGTAGTATCGCTAGCTTACAGCCAAATCTTGCGAGCGGGATCATGAGTGCGCACTGCTGAGGAGTCCTATACTAGGACAAAACAGCCGTCCATTGCTCACAGGTTTTCCATGGTGATCTAGTTTTAATTGACTCATGAATTCAATCATTAAATTACTACAATCTCCACAAAACCCCCTTTCTGAAGTACATAAAATTATATTTCACTTATATTTTATAACTATCATCATCAACTGTGATGCCTAAAGTAGAAAAATCTAAGGATTGTCATAGAAGATATCATACTTGGTTAGAATAATAGGAGATTATAAAGTACTTCGGTTGTGCACAAAATTATTGATTTCTTTTACTGACATATTCGTTACCTTTATCTACGTAGATGAGTCTTCACTAGTTCTATCGATGTCTTGTGAGTGAAAAGTGGTAGAATATTTCTTTAACGTTGTACATAATGAAATATTCCTTGTTATTCACTCAAATGTTTTTGGATTATTTACAATTCTGTTAATCAGTCGGACAATGCTCTTCAGAAACTGTTATGTTTGAAGCGATTATCAGTTCACCTAATCTGAGAGCGGAACGAAGACTTTGTGACACAATAACAGATAAGCTAGCTATTTTGACGCTTCTTAGCCCCGCTAACTAGAGAGAGAAGTTTAAGTTCGGAAGAGAGGGAATATATTTTATGAGCAACCAAAAGCACGAACAATAACGACAAACACAAATCAAGCGTATATATACAGCATAAAATTGTCCTTGGGAAGCGTTAC